CTGTGTTCCAGAATCATTCCTAACGTTGCAGCGCTGAAGATCAAGAGGGAGAAGATCTCCAAGCAAGACGTTACATTCATGAAGAAGGTAAAACACAACATTACTATCATCCTGATGTGCCCTTTATATATAGGACAATATATTTTAAAGTGGAGGGCTGTGCAGACATGTTTGTAGGAATGTGCAAAATATAGTCAGAGAGTTGAGCATGAACATGGCTCACAGTATTAAGAACATGTTCATGAACATAATGTATAATGTTTGTGGGGTGAAATAAAAAACAGAAACTTCTCAAACCTCTAAACATAACCCCCTTTTCCATCGTCTGTTTAAATGAGAAGGTTGGCCAAAGTCTGGTTGAATACAGCCTCCATGTTTGACTCTGTTGCACATCATGCTCTTGGTCTGAACTACAGTATCTTCTGTGTTCATTGGTAAGACACATGCATGGCCAGGAAGGATACATATCGACACTTTAACCTGTTAAGCCCTGAGCCTGTTTTTAAGGTCTCGAAAATGACATGCCCAGAACAAATGACTATATCTTCACTTCTAAAAGGGGTACATTAATAATCTTTTTTCTCAAAGCAATGATAAACCTGTGGGTTGGATGTAGAAAAGTCAGAATCAATATAGATGTTTTTTATTTTAAAGTAAATTCAGATTGAACATAGTAAAAAAATGTAAATTATAGTGGCCGTCCAAGAAAAACATTACTTATAGTGAAAACCACCCTTGGATGATGGGATAGTAGACTAAAAGCTTTTGGAATCCAAACTATAACATATAATCAGTACCCTGTATCAAGATTGATGCAAAACACGTGACATTTGACCTTTTTAGAGAGGTTTAGCACAAAAAAAACACTTCTGGGGTCATTTGGGTGTATTTGGGTGTATTTGGGTGTATTTGCCGTTTCTCTGGAACCCATTGGTCGATTTTGGTGATTGACACCTCTTTTGAACCGTTAGAGCCAATAGAATCGAGGGGAAGTTCCTAAATCCATCTAAACATTACCATTGAGGAGTGAGAGTGATGCGCACACAGCTTGCCCAAAATCGGAAGCTCCGTCACACTCTATATGAAAACTCAGTTTATTGCCATAAATATGATGATGGATTATCAGTAATCATTTCAAAGTGACACAGAGACACTGGATTAACCTTCAGCAGCGTTTGTATGCGTGTTAATGCCATTGAACACAACTTTGATCAGAACACAGCAAAGGTAAGAAGTATTTGCCGTTTTGGCCCCGTAAAGCTAAGTTGTGTGTTGTCTGGATTTGCCTTATACTTCTACCAATGGAATCTGTGGAATCTCAGCTTTCATATTGATCGAGTTTGTGCAGATCCGATGAAGTATAACATATTTATACCGTGAGTTATGTGCTATGTGCGTTAGCACTCTTTCGCTTAGTACTCATTCAGAGGCTCGGCGTTAGAGTTGTGTTTTGTTTCGGTAAAAATGGTTCATATCGTCAGGTAGCTGAGTTTCTTCCCGTTAAGTGGGTATGACACATTCATAGTTTGTTAAATGTTAAGAAGCCCTCAGACGCTGTTTCTTGCAAGATGTTGCGGGACCCCCCCCCCCCCCAAACAAGATATCAGATTAAAGCTGATATTCCACAGATTCTAGAGGTATAAGTATCATCACTGTGCGACAAAAACTCAGGGCAGCGGAGGCAAACCCAGACAACACACCACGTAGCTTTACGGAGCCAAAACGGCAAATACGTCTTACCTTTGCTGTTTTTCTGATCAAAAGTTGTGTTCAATGGCATTAAAACGATAAAAACGCTGCTGAAGATTAATCCAATGTCTCTGTGTCCCTTTGAAATGATTACTGATAATCCATCATCATATTTATGGCTTTCACCTAGTTTTCAGTTTTCAGAGCGTAACATAGCTTTTGGTTTGGGCATGCTGCGTGCGCATCACTCTCACTCCTCAATGGTAACGTGTAGGTGGATTTAGGAACTTCCCTCTCGATTCTATTGGCTCTAACGGTTCAAAAGAGTTGTCAATCATCAAAATCGACCGAGGGGGGCCAGAGATTACATTACATTACATGTTACTTATTAGACGCTTTTATCCAGCGGGCAATCCCCACAGGAGCAATTTGGGGTGAAGTGTCTTGCCCAGGGTACTTATTATATGTTGTACTTTGGATTCCTAAAGCTTTTAGTCTCCAAGGGTGGTTTTCACTATAAGTAATGTTTTCTTTGGACGGACACTATCATTTACATTTTTTTACTATGTTCAATCTGAATTTACTTTAGAAATTAAAAACATCTATATTGATTCTGACTTTTCTCCAGCCAACTCACAGGTTTATCATTGCTTTGAGAAAAACGATTATTAATTTACCCCTTTTTAGAAGTGTAGTTATAGTCATTTGTTCTGGGCATGTCATTTTCGAGCCTGAGACCTGAAAAACAGGCTCAGGGCTTAAAGGGTTAATTATTTTAATACGTATATTAGTTTAAATCAGACCCCTTTCCACCCCAGTGATCTTTTCTCTAACTGTTCTCTAACTGTTTTTATCTGTTTTTTCCTCCTCTGTTTAGCACGGGCAGCAGCTTTACCGCCACATCTTCCTCGGCTGTAAGGAGGAAGATAACGGTCATAAAAACTTTGAGCTGCTCTTCACCACGCTCGCTGTCCTCACCATCGAACTGGCCAACGAGGAGGTGGTGATCGACCTCATCCGCCTCTCCATCGCTCTGCAGGTACGCTGGGTTTATTCTCTGCAGGGAGTAGTTGTGGTTTACACAGAAGCTGCAGCTCTGTGAACCTGCATACTGAGATACTTTAACCTGTTAAGCCCGAGAGACCCCGGTACCGGGGCACTGCCGCAACATCTTGCAGGAAACAGTGTCTGAGGGCATGTTCATTTAATAAACTATGAATGTTTTATATCCATGTAACGGGAAGAAACTCATCGAACTGGTCTTTTTTTTTTTTTTTCAAAAGAAAACCCACAATGCTAACACTGAGCCTCTGAATTAGCAACGAGCGAAAAATGCTAACACCTTACTGCACCGAAAATCACTCACAAAACCTTATTATTTATCTTTTCACCACATCCAACACATCGATTCACATCGTGAGGTGACACAGAATCTATTGACAACGACATTACCACTGAATTATACGTATTTGCGACGTTATAAGCAAAAACGGACATCAAAACAGGTGACGCTAGGTAGCTAAAAATGCTAACATTTTTACCTTGGCTCTGTAGTCTCTCCAAAGTGGTCTTCAATGGCATTAAAACGATAAAATCGCTGCTGAAGTTAATCCATAGGTTAATCTAATGTGTCTCTGTCCCTTTGAAATGATTTCTGATAATCCATAAGCATTAAAACTGCTTTTCCGTTTCCAGATGTCAAAGCTAGAGATAGGTTCACTCTGATTGAAAATTACATGCGCGAAGCCCCCACCTTTTCTCTTCACAACGTGTGTGTGTGGGGGACTCCCCCTTCAATTCTATTGGCTCTAACGGTCAGAAAGAGGTGTCAACCATCAAAATCGAGCAAGGGGGGCCAGAGATATGGAAAATCCACCCAAATGACCCCAGAAGTGGTTTCTTTTGGCTAAATCTCTCTAAAAAGGTCAAATGTCACTTGTTTTGCATCAATCTTGATACAGGGTACTTATTATATGTTGTACTTTGGATTCCTAAAGCTTTTAGTCTACTAACCCATCATCCAAGGGTAGTTTTCACTATAAGTAAAAAAGAATTTTTGGACGGACACTATAATGTAAAATCTGAATTTTCTTTAAAATAAAAAACATCTATATTGATTCTGACTTTTCTACATCCAACTCACAGGTTTATCATTACTTTGAGAGAAAAGATTATTAATTTAACCCTTTTAGAAGGGAAGATATGGTCATTTGTTCTGGGAATGTCATTTTCGAGCCTGAGACCTGAAAAACAGGCTCAGGGCTTAACAGGTTAAAAAATATATGTACAGTATATACAAGGAAGGGAGGAAGGAAGGAACGAGGGAAGGAAGGAAGGAAGGAGGGAGGAAGTGAAACAATGAAAGTAAGGAAGTAGAGAGATAGGCAGGCAGGGAGGGAAGGAAGGAAGGAAGAAGGGAACACACACACACACACACTTTGATAGTAACAAGTGTACCTTCAGTTGGAACGTCTCTAAGTCTTCTGAGTTTTATTTAGGACTCTATTGCTGTTTTAGTGTGTGTGTTGATGTGTCGATATGTGTGTGTGTTGATGATAATAGTAGTAATTCATTACATTTTATGATAATTGATGATTATGATCATTATTATAGCGCTTTTCCAAGTGCTCAAAGCGCTTTACATGACATATTACACATATTAGACATGTAAGTGTTATTACTGTGGACAATATGGTGTGTGTGTTGATGTGTGTGTTCGGTGCAGGACATGGCTCTGACTAACGAGGAGAACCTCCCGATGTTGACCCGCTGTGCCGTCCTGGGTCTGGTGGCAGCGTACCTGAACTTCCTGAGTCAGATGATCGCTAACCCTCCATTCTGCCAGCACGTCAGCAAGGTGAGACACACACTCCTTCAGATCTGAGCTCAAACTGACACACACTCCTTCAGATCTGACCTCAAACTGACACACACTCCTTCAGATCTGAGCTCAAACTGACACACACTCCTTCAGATCTGAGCTCAAACTGACACACACTCCTTCAGACCTGAGCTCAAACTGACACACACTCATTCAGATCTGAGCTCAAACTGACACACACTCCTTCAGATCTGAGCTCAAACTGACACACACTCCTTCAGATCTGAGCTCAAACTGACACACACTCCTTCAGACCTGAGCTCAAACTGACACACACTCCTTCAGATCTGAGCTCAAACTGACACACACTCCTTCAGATCTGACCTCAAACTGACACACACTCCTTCAGATCTGAGCTCAAACTGACACACACTCCTTCAGATCTGAGCTCAAACTGACACACACTCCTTCAGACCTGAGCTCAAACTGACACACACTCATTCAGATCTGAGCTCAAACTGACACACACTCCTTCAGATCTGAGCTCAAACTGACACACACTCCTTCAGATCTGAGCTCAAACTGACACACACTCCTTCAGATCTGACCTCAAACTGACACACACTCATTCGATGCACCGGCGTTTTTGGCTTTTATTGTCATTTTTATTTCTCTGTTGATGCCTCTGCAGGTGATTGAGCTGAGGACCTTGGACGCTCCGTTCCTCCTGCCAGAGCACGTCTTCAAAGACAAGTGTCCGTACGTATCCACAGGTTTAAACAGAAAAGATCCGATTGATTTAGTTGAATTTCATCCCATTTAAAGAACATAAGGGACTTTTCATTACGTTACCCTCCGATATCCAAGTGCAATAATGCAAATAACATCTAAGTTGTCCGCAGTCATGACATTAAGCTACACATGCAATCAGTAGAAGTGATATAATATTAAATAGAAAGGAAAACTGGGATTCAGGGCCGTGGGAAAACGTCCCCTAAAGTAAATCCTCAACGCAGGATAGCCAATTATAACTGTCGATTTCGTTATATTAGAAATTCAGCCTTTAATTTCCCTCCCTCTCTCTCGTTGTCCCCAGCCTCCCTGAGTCTCTGGATAAAGAGGACAGACTTCTCTACTTCCAGACCGTCGATATGAGCGAGTGTTTAGCCGGACCGGGGTACAACGCTGAGAGACTCTCCATCCCTTATGTTCCCCAGGTCACAGGTAATGAACTTTCATTAAGTAAACACCAGAGGTGGGAAGTAGTGGAGTACAAATACTTTGTTACTGTACTTAAGTACATTTTTCTGGTATCAGTACTTTACTCCACTACTTATTTTCCTGACGACTTTTTACTTTGATTTCTTACATTTTGAACACAAATACCTGTACTTTCTACTTCTCACATGTTGAACACAAATACCTGTACTTTCTACTTCTCACATGTTGAACACAAATACCTGTACTTTCTACTTCTTACATGTTGAACACAAATACCTGTACTTTCTACTTCTTACATGTTGAACACAAATACCTGTACTTTCTACTTCTCACATGTTGAACACAAATACCTGTACTTTCTACTTCTTACATGTTGAACACAAATACCTGTACTTTCTACTTCTTACATGTTGAACACAAATACCTGTACTTTCTACTTCTTACATGTTGAACCCAAATACCTGTACTTTCTACTTCTTACATGTTGAACACAAATACCTGTACTTTCTACTTCTCACATGTTGAACACAAATACCTGTACTTTCTACTTCTCACATGTTGAACACAAATACCTGTACTTTCTACTTCTTACATGTTGAACACAAATACCTGTACTTTCTACTTCTTACATTTCCCAAACAGGCTGGTTCCTTTAGTTTGAATGTGTGTGTGGTGGCGTGATCATTATTATTTAGAGTCATTGCGTGCCTATTGATTTGAACACGATCCGTGTATCCATCATTTCCTGGTCTTCTCTAAAGAAGAGGGACCAATGAAAACGTTGTCATGTTGCCGTTGTTCAGCATGGAAACATTCATTAGCTAACAATGACATTATTGTTCTATTAATATAAAGGGAGGTCAGGTACTCTTTAAAACAGCTGCTAGTTATGGGTACTTTTTACTGAAGTACATTTCAAAGCCTCTTTACTTTGACTTGAGTAAAGAAGTTTAGTCAGTACTTCTACTTTTACCAGAGTATTTTTAAACACGAGTATCTGTACTTCTACTTGAGTAAAGGAGGTGTGTACCTTTGCCATCTGGTTTAACGTTTAATAAAGACAATCCTCAAGTGAAAATCCACCCAGATGTTTCCAGGATCTTCTCTTCACAGCTTTGATTTTAACCGGTTTATAAAAGTGTATTTTGTCTCGTCTTTAATCTAACAAAGCGTGCTTCTCTTTCCTTCCTCGCCTCGCTCTCCTCTTCCTCAGTGCTTTACACAGTAGGAAGAATCCTGCACAGGTGCAAGCAGACGTCCAGAGGTACAGAGTAGAGATGTGTTCAGACATATAGATATATATATATATGGTATAGATGCCACTAGCTGCTGTTCCAGATCCCTCCAGCTGCAGAAATATGTTGTTTTTATACAGCTTTGATAGTTTGTGTTTGACTGTGTTTTGGTTTTAAACGCCTGGAGACAAACCACAATGAAGGAGATGGATTGAAATAGCACTGCTTTTCTTTCGTGAGAAATATCACAGACTAAAATTGAAGTTATAATTGAAAACTGCACTGCTCTGCGAGATCAGAGATATCCCAATAATGTCTGTGTGATCATTTAGGAGATCCATCCATGCTTCTCAAAACAAGGCAGTACTCTTCTACCTTTTCTCTTCACTACATATGAGTACTCTTATATTATTAGTTTGTATAATGTGTGTTTTGCACAACAACTTAAGGTTTTTCCCTTTAATACCATGGCACATTTCAGACACAAATGCATTTCAAAGTGCCTTACATGAGCGTTCACACATAAGAGAAAGACCATTTTTTAAAGAGACAGACGATGGTTTAAAATCAGCATTTGAAGAACAGCTGATCCTGCAGGAGGTGCAGAAATAATAATAATATGTTAGATGGATAGATGGATAGATGGATAGATGGATAGATGGATAGATGGATAGATGGATAGATAGATAGGTAGGTAGGTAGGTAGATAGATGGATGGATAGATGGATGGATGGATGGATAGATAGATGGATAGATAGATAGATAGGTAGGTAGGTAGATAGATAGATGGATGGATGGATAGAGAGATAGATAGATAGATAGATAGATGGATAGATAGATAGATAGGTAGGTAGGTAGGTAGGTAGGTAGGTAGGTAGATGGATAGATAGATAGAGAGAATAAACACAGCAGCTTAATAGTAAAACTGTACAGTAAAAAGAGCAATTACATATCTACAGTAAACATGAAACATAGACGTTGAGGAATAAACTCTGGAAAAGCAGCGCTACACAGAGAAGTTTTTAGCCTCGATTTGCACAGTAAAGGACAAACATCCGAGTGAAGGAAGGATCAGAAACACACATTTCTGAGAGGATGGGAAACCTTACATTCAGACTAAAGCTCTGATGTAGAGAGGAGCTGATTTGAAGGTAGACATAATTTTAAACTTCGCTTTAGAGAAGCTGTCACATGCTTTTCTGCGTGTGAGTTGTGTTCAATGCCATCTTCCAAGTACATATTCCCAACAGAGATTAAAGGTGTCCACTTAACAAACACTACATGTCATCCCTGTAGCTTTCAGTAGTTCCTCTTGTTTCCTGAGTAGCTGTAGCATCAAACTGAACAGAAACAGAACGATTTGATCATTTATTTAACTGTTTTGCCTTCATTACATCTGGAAATGCTGCGGTGAGTACTTCATGTACTGTAGATGACAGAAATACGTTTTTTAAGATAGCAGTAGTGTGTGTTTCTTGGTGATCATTTTTAAAGGACCAGAGTTGAGGATTTAGTGACATAATTCTGAACTTGTCTCTGTGTTATTCGGAAAATATGTGCAACAAGGTTCCTCAGAAGTTTATCTCTTTGCAGGATCTGAAGGATTTAGTTGCTTTAAACTAAAACATCGCAACAGAAATCTTGGTTTATGGAAAATGCAGATCTGTGATACTGCTTTTTATCAAGTGGCCTCGAAGAACAAATGAAAAACATTAAAGTTTGTCAGTTCCTCTCAGAGACATCAGGTTTTGATTTCTACATGTAAACAGTGGGGGATTTTAGTAATTTTTAAACATAGATCTCAGATGAACGGGGCAGAAAGGAGGGTCTGTTTCATTAAAACTGCACAGGAACATTTAGTCCATTTCTTTATTATTATTGGACTGATTTATGCTGTGAGCACACTGCTGCTACAACATAGTGTAAGAAAAATGGTTCAGACTGTTTTTCAAAACCATGCGTCAAAAAAGTGAATAAAATAAAGACTTTTTAACTTTTTTTTTAATTTAAAAGTCACTATTTATCTCAAGGGTTAGGGTTTGTTGTGTAAACGTAGCTTACACTGAGGGATGAGGGGGAAAAGGAGGTTTAAGGTATACTAATAAGGGAATAAATACATATTGTTATTACCATCATTTATCACACTGGACACCAAAAGGATTTACAAAAAACATTATTAGTATTATTACTATTCTTAGACAGAGTGAATGAACAAGATGGTGACGACTAGAAACCAAGATGGTGACGACTAGAAACCAAGATGGTGACGACTAGAAACCAAGATGGTGACGACTAGAAACCAAGATGGTGACGACTAGAAACCAAGATGGTGACGACTAGAAACCAAGATGGTGACGACTAGAAACCAAGATGGTGACGACTAGAAAACAAGATGGTGACGACTAGAAAACAAGATGGTGACGACCAAAAAACAAGATGGTGACGACTAGAAACCAAGATGGTGACGACTAGAAAACAAGATGGTGACGACCAAAAAACAAGATGGTGACGACTAGAAAACAAGATGGTGACGACTAGAAAACAAGATGGTGATGACTAGAAACCAAGATGGTGACGACTAGAAAACAAGATGGTGACGACCAAAAAACAAGATGGTGACGACTAGAAACCAAGATGGTGACGACTAGAAAACAAGATGGTGACGACCAAAAAACAAGATGGTGACGACTAGAAAACAAGATGGTGACGACTAGAAAACAAGATGGTGACGACTAGAAAAAAAGATGGTGACGACCGACCAAAAAACAAGATGGTGACGACTAGAAAACAAGATGGTGACGACTAGAAAACAAGATGGTGACGACTAGAAAACAAGATGGTGACGACTAGAAAACAAGATGGTGATGACTAGAAAACAAGATGGTGACGACCGACCAAAAAACAAGATGGTGACGACTAGAAAACAAGATGGTGACGACTAGAAAACAAGATGGTGACGACTAGAAAACAAGATGGTGACGACTAGAAAACAAGATGGTGACGACTAGAAACCAAGATGGTGACGACTAGAAACCAAGATGGTGACGACTAGAAAACAAGATGGTGACGACTAGAAAACAAGATGGTGACGACTAGAAAACAAGATGGTGACGACCGACCAAAACACAAGATGGTGACGACTAGAAAACAAGATGGTGACGACCAGAAAACAAGATGGTGACGACTAGAAAACAAGATGGTGACGACTAGAAAACAAGATGGTGACGACTAGAAAACAAGATGGTGACGACTAGAAAACAAGATGGTGACGACTAGAAAACAAGATGGTGACGACTAGAAAACAAGATGGTGACGACTAGAAAACAAGATGGTGACGACCGACCAAAAAACAAGATGGTGACGACTAGAAAACAAGATGGTGACGACTAGAAAACAAGATGGTGACGACTAGAAAACAAGATGGTGACGACTAGAAAACAAGATGGTGACGACCGACCAAAAAACAAGATGGTGACGACTAGAAAACAAGATGGTGACGACTAGAAAACAAGATGGTGATGACTAGAAAACAAGATGGTGACGACCGACCAAAAAACAAGATGGTGACGACTAGAAAACAAGATGGTGACGACTAGAAAACAAGATGGTGACGACTAGAAAACAAGATGGTGACGACTAGAAAACAAGATGGTGACGACCGACCAAAAAACAAGATGGTGACGACTAGAAAACAAGATGGTGACGACTAGAAAACAAGATGGTGACGACTAGAAAACAAGATGGTGATGACTAGAAAACAAGATGGTGACGACCGACCAAAAAACAAGATGGTGACGACTAGAAAACAAGATGGTGATGACTAGAAAACAAGATGGTGATGACTAGAAAACAAGATGGTGACGACTAGAAAACAAGATGGTGACGACTAGAAAACAAGATGGTGACGACTAGAAAACAAGATGCGACTAGAAAACAAGATGGTGACGACCGACCAAAAAACAAGATGGTGACGACTAGAAAACAAGATGGTGACGACTAGAAAACAAGATGGTGACGACTAGAAAACAAGATGGTGACGACCGACCAAAAAAACAAGATGGTGACGACTAGAAAACAAGATGGTGACGACCAGAAAACAAGATGGTGACGACTAGAAACCAAGATGGTGACGACTAGAAAACAAGATGGTGACGACTAGAAAACAAGATGGTGACGACTAGAAAACAAGATGGTGACGACCGACCAAAAAACAAGATGGTGACGACTAGAAAACAAGATGGTGACGACTAGAAAACAAGATGGTGATGACTAGAAAACAAGATGGTGACGACCGACCAAAAAACAAGATGGTGACGACTAGAAAACAAGATGGTGACGACTAGAAACAAGATGGTGACGACTAGAAACCAAGATGGTGACGACTAGAAAACAAGATGGTGACGACCGACCAAAAAACAAGATGGTGACGACTAGAAAACAAGATGGTGACGACTAGAAAACAAGATGGTGACGACTAGAAACCAAGATGGTGACGACCGACCAAAAAACAAGATGGTGACGACTAGAAAACAAGATGGTGACAACTAGAAAACAAGATGGTGACGACCGACCAAAAAACAAGATGGTGACGACCAGAAAACAAGATGGTGACGACTAGAAAACAAGATGGTGACGACTAGAAAACAAGATGGTGACGACTAGAAAACAAGATGGTGACGACTAGAAACCAAGATGGTGACGACTAGAAAACAAGATGGTGACGACTAGAAAACAAGATGGTGACGACTAGAAACCAAGATGGTGACGACTAGAAACCAAGATCGTGACGACTAGAAACCAAGATGTTGACGACTAGAAAATATACATGTTAATTGAGTTAATTTAATTTAGTTATTATATTGTATTCAAGTATTCTAATGTACGACTGCACTTGAAAGCACTTCAAAGATAGCTGGCGGTGAGAAAAACGTTATTAAAAAATGTAAAACTTTATAAAACCACGTTACTTCCCCTCCTCGTTGAAGTGTTGTAGGACACACAAAAAAGAGATGTTATATGTAGAAATATTCTCCTCATGCACTCTGCTGTGCTGCTGATGCTGATATTGTTCTCGCGGTATGAATAAATCAGGGTTTGGAGGTTTATCTGTTCTCCTGTCTCTCAGATAAAGACCGGATGACGAGGAGGAAGAGCTTCGTGGACACCATCTCTCTGCAGGTGGACATCATCTCCAACATCCTGCCTGACAAGGTCCGTCTACACGCTATAATTATTAACATTATTAATTATCTTTTATTATTATTTTTAATTACTTTTATTTGATTTGAATTTTTAATGTATTTATTGTATTACTTTTGTATTATTGTAAATAATATTTGTATTACTTTTATACTTTTTAATGTGTTTGTTCTTTTATTATTATTATTATTATTATTATTATTATTATTATTATTATTATTATTATTTTGTTTTTAAATGTATTTTCTTCGGGATGTATAAACTGTCTAATTGTTGAAATAGTAGAATCAATAATAAATCAAAGAAAAAATAAACAAAATATAGAAAAACGTTTAACAAAAGTTAAAAAGAAGACATTCCCGTCAATAACACAGAGTTCAATCAGGAGAGACGGTTTTGATGAAAGAGTACATATTTATTGCCAGGAATACACAAATGATTGTAATGGAGTTTTGGCGATTAGGCCCCGTTGTGCAGGAGTATCATTCGGGAGGGGAGAACCGATCAGATGAAACCCCCCCCGGGGTCTAGACACTGGTGGTGGTGAATGGATAGTTGGGGTCGGTCTGAAGGGGAGTGGCTTAGCTTGACCCTGGTGGTGGTGAATGGATGGTTGGGGTCGGTCTGAAGGGGAGTGGCTTAGCTTGACCCTGGTGGTGGTGAATGGATAGCTGGGGTCGGTCTGAAGGGGAGTGGCTTAGCTTGACCCTGGTGGTGGTGAATGGATAGTTGGGTTCGGTCTGAAGGGGAGTGGCTTAGCTTGACCCTGGTGGTGGTGAATGGATAGTTGGGGTCGGTCTGAAGGGGAGGGGCTTAGCTTGACCCTGGTGGTGGTGAATGGACAGTTGGGTTCGGTCTGAAGGGGAGGAGCTTGACCCTGGTGGTGGTGAATGGATAGTTGGGTTTGGTCTGAAGGGGAGGGGCTTAGCTTGACCCTGGTGGTGGTGAATGGATGGTTGGGTTCGGTCTGAAGGGGAGGGGCTTAGCTTGACCCTGGTGGTGGTGAATGGATAGTTGGGTTCGGTCTGAAGGGGAGTGGCTTAGCTTGACCCTGGTGGTGGTGAATGGATAGTTGGGTTCGGTCTGAAGGGGAGGGGCTTAGCGTGACCCTGGATTCAGAGGGACAGGAGGTGAAAAGGGGTGGAGGAGGGTTGCGTCGAGTCACCTGAAATGACAGCTGTCGGAGGAGAGAGAGCAGATTTAAAAGGGTTAGCGGAGCGCTATGATAGGCTTGTGAGAATAGAGCGAAGTGATTGGTTAAGCTAGGGAGTGACGCCCCCGATCACTTATTGAGAGGAGAGAGTAACATAGAAATAGTAAATTAATTAGTAAACACGGTCTTCCTGGTTGAACTTGCGTTGAGCTTCATTTGTAGTATTTTTTAAAGTGTATTATTCAGGGTATGTTCATCAGATGTCATCCTCATGTGTTTAAATCTAATATGTGTTTTATTTGTATTTCCTCTAGTCCCAGCTGGCCGAGGAGATCACGTTCGAGACGCTGAAGAAAGCCATCGGTGAGATTTCAGAGACGTTTCTGAGACTTTCTCCTTAAACCTCGTCCCACCTTTTCTGCTGAAATCCCTCCCAGATTACAAAGGAAATGTTGACTTTTGTCTGGAGCTCCATCATCCTGGATTATTGCAATTCCCTTTTATCAGGCTGTCCAAACTCATCATGAAAGACAATGGACCATCTTGTCATTTGACTATATTCTCAGATATGTTTGTTGTTTTTACTTTATATCATTCATGTTTGTTGATTTGTGAAGCCCTCTGAGACAAATGTGTTTTGTGATATCGGGCTATATAAATACATTTGAATTGAATTGAATTGAAGCCTCCATGTTTGTTTGCCCTCAGACACGACGGGGGTGGAGGAGCAGGAGCGGGAAAAGAGGCGTCAGCTGATGGAAAAGTTCCAGAAAGCTCCGTTTGAAGAGATCGCCGCTCACTGCGAGTCCAAGGTGAGACAAACCAGTACCACGTTTCCATTAACCACCCCTTCATACCTCTATTCTACTGTGGAGTTAAATATTGGAGGTTTTAAATTATTTAATTATGGCTGATTTCTTCCTGCAGGCGAACTTGTTGCACGACCGTCTGGCTCAGATCTTCGAACTAACCATCAGGTCAGTCATCTTTTTGTTTACTTTAGTTAATACTTACTTGAATTTAGGATTTGATAATACTATCCATGCATAGCCACGTCGTCATCAACATGTGTCCCCTCTTCTTCATGTCTCTTCTACATCAACATGTGTCCCCTCTTCTTCATGTCTCTTCTACATCAACATGTGTCCCCTCTTCTTCATGTCTCTTCTACATCAACATGTGTCCCCTCTTCTTCATGTCTCTTCTACATCAACATGTGTCCCCTCTTCTTCATGTCTCTTCTACATCAACATGTGTCCCCTCTTCTTCATGTCTCTTCTACATCAACATGTGTCCCCTCTTCTTCATGTCTCTTCTTCATCAACATGTGTCCCCTCTTCTTCATGTCTCTTCTACATCAACATGTGTCCCCTCTTCTTCATGTCTCTTCTACATCAACATGTGTCCCCTCTTCTTCATGTCTCTTCTACATCAACATGTGTCCCCTCTTCTTCATGTCTCTTCTTCATCAACATGTGTCCCCTCTTCTTCATGTCTCTTCTACATCAACATGTGTCCCCTCTTCTTCATGTCTCTTCTACATCAACATGTGTCCCCTCTTCTCCATGTCTCTTCTTCATCAACATGTCCCCTCTTCTTCATGTCTCTTCTTCATCAACATGTGTCCCCTCTTCTTCATGTCTCTTCTACATCAACATGTGTCCCCTCTTCTTCATGTCTCTTCTACATCAACATGTGTCCCCTCTTCTTCATGTCTCTTCTTCATCAACATGTGTCCCCTCTTCTTCATGTCTCTTCTACATCAACATGTGTCCCCTCTTCTTCATGTCTCTTCTACATCAACATGTGTCCCCTCTTCTTCACGTCTCTTCTACATCAACATGTGTCCCCTCTTCTTCATGTCTCTTCTACATCAACATGTGTCCCCTCTTCTCCATGTCTCTTCTACATCAACATGTGTCCCCTCTTCTTCATGTCTCTTCTACATCAACATGTGTCCCCTCTTCTTCATGTCTCTTCTTCATCAACATGTGTCCCCTCTTCTTCATGTCTCTTCTTCATCAACATGTGTCCCCTCTTCTTCATGTCTCTTCTTCATCAACATGTGTCCCCTCTTCTTCATGTCTCTTCTTCATCAACATGTGTCCCCTCTGTGGAAAGAGACTCTGAAAGTTTCAGGAACAAAGATTCTCTCTCTTTTTGATCCATTTCTATAAAAACCTGTCTGAAAATGAGCTGATCAGATTTTGGCCACTTGATGATGTCATAACGATGTTTTGTCTTGTGTAACCATTAGCCAATCAGCAACCAAGGTAACCCCCCCCCCCTTATCACCTGAATCTCCTCCTAGAGCACCATTGAGTTCTTTGTAACCAAATCTCTCTCAGAGGGGCGTGGGGAGGGGCTCCTTATTTTCATCTAAAGTAACAGACAGAGAATCAGCACTTTGGAAACAGGGCTGAAACAGAGGGGATTATGGGTAATGCTGCAATGATCTGTTTGGTGTTTCAGCCAATCAGAGACAGGCTCTGCATATATCTGAGACCTGTGATACATTGATGAAAACAGTATAATAGGGGACCTTTAAAGGTTCAGGAAGTCATTTATTCAAGTGGATCTTCCGTGAGTTTAAGCGACTTCTATAACGTTCCCCCCTCTCTCCTCCACAGACCCCCCCCCAGTCCTTCAGGGGTCGTCTCCATTTCCTCCGGACACAATCAGTCCGTCCCCGTCTACGAGATGAAGTTCCCCGACCTGTGTGTGTACTGATCTCACACACACGCGCACACACACACACACACAGTGATATATCAGCAAACTGCTAAGGAAGAACTCTCACTCTGTACTGTCGTTTCCTCAGACCAGCACAGCGTCGCACAAAATGCAGAAAAACACAAAAAAACTTTAATCTGAAAATCCAAGCAAAAATCAGTTTATAATCTCCAGTTAGTTTGACAGCCTTTTAATGGAAAACGGTACAAAGAATCACACAATTCTGTTCAAATCTACTTTAAAAACTTGGATTTTCTGATTGCTGATGTTCTGCATTTTGTTGCCTGACATCCCTGAAGCTACACGAATAATAAGAGTCACGAAGAACAAACTAAAGCCACCATCTTCCACTCCTTAGTGTTTAGATGCTGAAATATGCCACTATCAAAGGCTTCCCGCCTTGTACATACGCTGTAGGGTAAATCAATCACTCGTTACATTGGATAAAACCACTTTAAAGCTTAAAAAACGTGCGTCTAGTGTTAGCTGTGATGCTAATTCTCCAGAGCCAGCTTCTACGTATCTGTTCTCATGTCTCACAAATAAACCTAAATGTTAAATATATCAGTTATCAGAACTGAATTAACTTGTGGTAGATTAGATCTTAAGCTCTTAAAGGTAACCTAAGCACCAGAAACAGGCTTCAAGACGCAGCTAAGTTTCACGAGAGGAAACTGAAATCTAGAGCAATACTTAAGACGTGGTGAGAGTTTGTGTTCAGGACAAACGGCTCGCTCATAGTTGGTGATTTCCCTCTTTCTGTCGTGTCTTATATAGGTTTTAGTGCATGTCAATGGTCTGAAAAAGCAAAAAAAAGGTCTGGAAAATATCACTTTGGAACCCTCGCGCTCCTATTGGCTAGCGCTCCAACGCGTTGTGCGTGATAGGCTAAGGGCAGGGACATCTTTAAGTGGTTAACCAATCACAACAGAGCAAAAAAAAGGATGGAAAAAGGTGCAAAAAAAAAAAGATCCCGTTGATTTTTCTTTAAAACTTGGATCCTAAATCCACCGAGAGATGATTTTTAGGTGAGAAAAAGTTAAATTTGGGTCCTGTTTTGTACAGAATGGTTAAAGATGGAAAGTGAGTGAAAGAGACGAGGAAGAGTGTCGGGATGTTTTGTGATTTGATCGAGTACGTTTCAGATGGTTTGGGAAGTTAAAGGATGTGAAATCACCAACATGAGCTGAAGCATTTGATCTCTAACAGGAAGTCAGTCTTCTTCAGGATCAGTTTGAGAGTCTGTTTCCACCTGGTGTTAAATCATGTGTATCTGTACGTCAGGAACAATACATGTCAATGCAGCAGAACACAGTGTTTCTGGATATGGCTTTATGATAGAAAATGACCACGACTATTCTTTTCTATCATAAACCGTTGGTGTATTCAACACTTCTGAGTTCACAACAGGACTCTATGAGTAATATGCACATAAACATCTGAGGCTCCTAAATGTTGATGATGCATGATGGGAAAAGTGTGCATCGTGCAAGCTGATTGGCTCTTTACTATGGGGGTAACAGGAAACAACAACAGGAACCTTTTCAAGTGAGATTTGACAGCTTTTACAAGTAATATTTTACAGTTCATCTCAAATGAATTGTTCCATGTCGTGTCAGCAAAGTCTTATCCTCAGTCAGTCAGACAGCAGGCCGTTCAAATCCATTCATATTGAAGCCTAAGGTTAATTTGAGAGCCTTTAATGTCGCTAAAAAGCATAAATAATCTACTTTTAAACGTGTGAAAATCAAACTACAATCCCATATTATTTACAGACTTGCTTCGTCCGACACATTATGGATACAAATTATAATTATTGCTACAATTAACGTAAGAAAACCCACTTCTTCACAGAGTCAAAGTCCATGGGGTCTTTTGCCAAAAAAGTAAAGAAATAAAGGCAAAAATACTAGGAAATAAGGCCTTTAAAAGTTACGTTTTAAAAGTTATTTAACATCCAATTTGGTCGATTTAGAAGTAAGAGAAGGAGTCGTTTTTGGAGCTGTCGTTAAAATGAATAAAAGCACGACAGTAGGCAGTTAAAAGTTGGGTTTCATAGTTAATACTCACATTAAATCTGGTCCGATAGTCGTCACATGACCCTTATCTTAGCATTAATTGAACATCATTTTGTACGTTCACCTAAATGCAGCGTGGAGATCATGTTTCAGCTTTTAAAAGTTGAGTTTAACACTTAAAAAGCAATCAATTTTGATCCTTTTGGTTTAAAAACAGTAATGTTTCTCACTCTCCTGATAAGTGGGGTGTAGTTGCAATAAAGACCATGACTATCCACTAAAAAGAAGAAGGACAGACGCCTCCAAAAGCTGATTTTCACACTTAATTTCTAACCAAATTTGGTCGGTTTCCAACCAATAAAGTAGTCCCTCTTTGGCTGATATGAAAATGGATGCTTGGTCAGATTGTGCTTCCAGATACAGATGTGTGTTTAATACCAGGTTTAAACAGAGGCTTTGTTCTGCAGATGAAGCTAAATAAACGTACGAGTGGTTTAAAGTGAGTTGACCTGCAGAGTGTGTCCTCTAACGTGAGAAAGACGGAGTTATGAGCCTCAAATAAATGAAGAAAGCGTTTTATATTCCCCGTGTATAAAACCCATCCTCCACCGATGCATCAAAGTGATTCTATCTTTTAGAAATCCACGCTGCTTACCGTCATGCAAACTCATATCATAGCGCTACGTTAAAAACATGCATCATGTGAACGAGCTGCACGATATCACGCTAACGAAAAAAAATGTACTTTTAAATCCGACTTTTCTCCGAGGTGATCACAAAGGAGCCAGCGCAGTGCACACGTCACTGATTTCACTCTGGAGGAAAGTCCGATTGGTTTTAGCTGGAGTTATTTCTTTACGAATGTGTCATTATAGCGGTGTTTCATATATATTTTTGTACATTTTATGCATCACATGCGGTCACACTGTTGCCGGGTAGAGATTTAGAGAGAGGGAGATTTATTCTGCAGATCAAATTTATCGAGATGACGATAAACGCTCATCTGTTTTTATTTGAAATTACATTTGTTTGTTGTTTATTGAAGATGACGGTTCAGGGTTTCAATGAGATGGTGGGAGAAAAGATCCCATTCATACTTCATTTCTCGGTCTTATCCATCGTATCATTTCAATATGCTGACTTACTAACAAATATTATATCTATGGTCAGTTATTTTTGCAAGAAGTGGAGTAAATCTGTGCTTATTTTAGCATTTCAATTGTGTTTTTTTGCACGGAAGTTGCAGCTCAAGATGTATTCAATATTAAAGCTTTAAATTCACTTACACTTATTTTTGCAAAGACAGTTTTACATGTTTCACTATTCTGCTCACGAGGAAATGTCAAAAAACTACTTTATTTCAAAAGAAAACGGACATTTCTTAAAACTGCTTTCACCTTTTTGTTTATTTTCCAGCGGCTCCAGTATTCAAATGATCTGTAAATGCATTTAGAGTGAATTATAAGGTTTATTTCAGAGCCTTTCATGTCCTTTAAATGCAAAAACAATTGAGTTCCCGTTGTTTAATCCGACAGATATTTAGGGTTAGTTGCACGATAAATACTTTGCTCAGAAAGACACAAAAATCATGCCTTTATTAAAAGTTGTGCTCTATTAAATTGGCTGTAATCTGAATTTGACACCGTCTCTAATTGAGTAAATTAAGTTGAGTGAATCTGAGCTGCAACTTCTTGTCAGTAAATAAAAAAAGGTATAATAATAAAGTATAAATCTGATGCAGGAAGCGATCAGTCTGTGAATCTACTTTTGATAAAGCACATTTAATAGACTTAGCTCATTTAGACGGTGTAAAATGTGTTGCTCAAATGAGATGCTGAACATGTATTAACCGTCATAACGAAATATGGTGTTTGCACTTTGATCACTGTGTACTGGTACTATAGCAAAATAAATCGCACAGATTCATGTCGGTACGGTTTTGATCATTCGAGGTATTTTCTCCCATATCGTTCAGTCTGTTGTATCCATGAAGAAATAATAAAAAATAATAATGAAGAAAAAAGTCTGTTCTTACGAGTTATTGAAGTTATTAAAGAGGTCTTATTCTGCTTTTTGGGGGGTTTCCTTCTCCTGTAGTTTTAAAGGTTTTAGTGCATGTAAATGGTCTGCTAAGGTTAAAATCTCAAAGTTCGGGACATAGTGACATCACTACCTAACACTCATGCTCCTATTGGCTATCGCTCCAACACATTGTACGTGAAAGGCTTCTCAGAATTCTGACTTTTTCTAAAAGTTTCAGAATTCTGACTTTTTACTGAAAATCTCAAAATTCAGATTTATTTCTGAAAATCTCAAAATTCTGACTTTTTACTGAAAATCTTTATCACAAAGTATTTAAGAGCGTAGATTAAAAATGAATAATCCGTGTTGAGGCTGAAGTAATAATATTCTTCATATCAATTAATCTATTGGTGATCAGAATAAATATTTTTCTATCAACACTCAACGTTTATAACGGCTTTATTTCTGTTAGAGTTTGAAGGGAAATGCCATAGCTTTTATTTCATTTCTTTTTTTTATTAAAATCATGTGAAGAAAACCTGAAAATCAAAGTAAACATTTAATTTTTTTCTGAAATGTACAACTTCAAATGTGCAACAAAAACCTCTGAAAAACATAATCATAATTATTCCCAAAGCTGCCGTTAGAAGAGAGAAACACTTCTAGATTCCCTCTTCCTCTTCTTCTCCTCCCCCCTCCTCCTCTTCCTCTTTCCCCGCTGGTCTCTGCGCTGTGATTGGCTGTTGGTTGCTGTTCTGTCCTGTGATTGGCCGGTGGTTGTGTGACGGCGGCGCTTTGCTCTCTCCACTGGACGGAGGAAACGTAGTGAAAGAAAAATGAGGAAGATGAGGAGGGTTCTTCGGCTTCTCTTCTTGCTTCATGTTCCAGTTTTCATCGCTGCAGAGAAAAAGGTATTTGTTTTGAACATTTATTAGATAACAAGTTCCTTGACAGTGAGTCTCACACAACATGGTACGCAGATACCATCATATCGTTACAACAAAAATATATATATAATATAATCAAAAAGTACAATATATAATAGTAATTATCAACAAAGCATAATAAATATAACAAATATAGAGTCCAATTAAAGCATGGGTCGGCAACAGACGTCGCCCGCTACGCCGCCCGCCTACGATCACACCGCAAATACTTCAGTCGACGAGTGGCAATAACTGTCCTTACCAGCAGGCAGCGGTAGTGTGAACAGCCAATCAGAGTGATTGCTTGGGCCGACTTTCTCTGACCTCCCGCGGGCGATTCAACATGTTGAATCGGCCGTGGGAGGCATCGGGAGGTGTGAAAAGGTGCCGTAAAGAGACGACGGTGCGGGACACACAAACCTGAGTAGGGCGCCGCGAATGCCCGACTGCCTCTGACGGCCTCTGACGGCCTCTGACGGCCTCTGACTCCCAAAATCTGGCTGGTGTGTCCGGGCCTTTATACCTTACAACAGGTGACCATTTCTCTAAATACACTTCCATCTTGAGTTGTAGTTTTTTACATTTTCGAAAAGAGGTATTTTTACGTCAAAAACTGAGAGAGTTATTTCATGTTTTTCAGGAGTTTTACGAATAATAGGTCTTTTTAGAACAAACTAAAAGAAGTGTATTTGTAGAAAACAGCAGAAGAACTGAGAAGATCACGTCATGGGAACCGTTGTATTTAAGGCATGTTTCTTTGTTTTGTTTTACTCACATTATACATCGCAGAGACTCTGAACTAACGTCAAAATGTGAAGCTCAATTAGAACATGCACGCTATTAAGATAAGATAAGATAAGATAAGATAAGATAAGATGGACCTTTGTTAATCCCCGTGGGGAAATCCAGTAGTTTAAAAAGCAACAGGGTGAGACTAAAAAACAGCACAGATTCACACAAGATGAATACAATTAAAGATACAATTACACTGATATACAGGTAAGAAACTGTTACAATAAGAAATGAATGAAATGAACATGTATAGTACATATTTGAGTCATATATACATATTCAATATATTTACATGTATGTATGCTGGTTATTGTGAAAACAGTGTGTATTTGATGTACAGTACTTGTACCTTCATAACTCTACTTATATTACCCAATTCATCTCAATGTTACTTTAGAACTCTCAACCTTTTGATCCTCAGGTTCAATCCCACCTAACGTCTAATAAGTGTAATATTACATCTGAGGCAGCATTGCAGATCAGCGTCAGCTTTTCAGCATTCACACCTCAATTTCTTCAGGAAGTAGTCTTAGTAGTTCAGATAGTGAGGGATGTGGTTTCAGAGGAGAGATTTAGAGATAGGCCTCGTTGTGTTATATTTGTTTCTTTCGTTTGGCACAATCTCATTTGTCTCCTCCTCCTCCTCCTCCTCCTCCTCCTCCTCCTCCTCCTCCTCCTCCTCCTCCTCCTCCTCCTCCTCCTCCCTTAAAGAACATTTGTTGGCAGTATTCTTTGTTTAAAAGGAATAAACATGTTGGTTAACGTTCACTCTGATCCCCCCTGATATTAGTTGTTGTGTGTTACTATTTCTATTCTATTTTATTTGTATGTACCTGCACTATTATCTGTTTTATTGTGTTGCTCTGTTGGAGGAGCCTGTGACCTCAGATATATCTCCACCGTAGCTATGAACACATGACATTAAAAGCCTTGAATCTTGAATCTACTGTCCTCAGGTCCCCTAGACCTTAGTGGGGACGTAACAGTCAGCTTTTCAGCATTCACACCGCAATTTCATCAAGAATTGCATTGTTTTGTTTTAACTGAGAGAAAGAACATTTACGATGTGACCGCTCACCTGTTCTGGTCTCTTGGAGGTGGAGAAGTCGTGTTTTTATCCGTAGATGTCTCCCGACCTGCTTCAGGTTTCTCCCTGATGACGTCATCAGAGTTTCCTCCCTGGCTCTCCTCACTCTCCTCACTCTCCTCGCTCTCCTCGCTGGACTGAGATGAAAGCCGTGGGTTGGGGGGCCGTGTGGGCCGCCGGCAGGGAGGCTCGGGTCCTCGGCACTGAGCCGCCGGGAGGCTGTGGTTAAAGTGAGCGAACGCCATACACTCTGCCGTGGTTTTATCACACACACACTGCAGTTTATCACACACACTCACGCCCTGACCTGAGGAGAGACGAGTCGTTGAGTCAGGTTTCATTATTGATCATGTTTAACTTGTTTCAATATAAGAAGCAGTGTAGAAGAAGTACTCAGATCCTTGGCTGAAGTAAAAGCAGCAATAGTTATAGGTAAAAGTACTGTAATTTAGTACACATTTTAGGTACTTTTACTATCGTTACACTTCAAAGGTCTCCTATTTCACTGTTTTTAGGCACATAGTATAGGTCTCAGATACATACAAATATATAAAAACATGTCTATGATGTGTTTTGCTCAAAATACCAAACAGATCAACCATTCTAGCCTCACCCCCCTCTATTTAAGCCCTGTTACTAAAGTGCTGATTCTGGGTCCGTAGCTTAATTCTCAGCTAAATTCTGCCGTGATTAAGCTCCATATCATGTTCCAAACCACATCAAGGATTATCTCTGAAACAGTATGGAGCTCAAACTCTTTCTCTCTCTCAGGTTTTACCACAAGGTGAGTTCCTTTTTTAAATGCCTGCTTCTTTACACATACTCTCTCCAGTACAGGTTAGCTCTGAGTGTTAGCGCTGCTTGCTAATGTAAACAAAGACCATATTTCGTCCAAAACACGTCAGGCATTGTATTCATATTTATGTATAAAAGACATCACAAAGTGCATTTTGTATAATAGGTGACCTTTAAGTAAAAGCAGCAATAGATATAGGTAAACGTACTGTACCTAAGTACACATTTTAGGTACTTTACTCAAGTATTTTCCTATCATTACACTTTAAACCAGGGGTCGGCAACCCCTGGCACGCGTGCCAGCATTGGCACGCGGCACCGTAGCCAGTGGCACACTAGGAATAAGTCGAATAAGTGTGCAAAATATTTAAATTGTATTTTCGGATCCTGAACGAGACCGCCGCCAGAGCGCGTCTCCCCGTTACCTGCAGAAGGAAGCCATGCACGCAACGCAGCCCCGCTCTCTTTAACTCCAGGTGACTTTCTGCCGCTTTCCTCCGTGGTGCAGTGCTGATCGTTTCACCACGGAAGAAAGCACTTCACAAATTGCAGTACCCATAAGGAGCTTTACAAATGTCGCAGTTTTTGCGTGGCTGTGTGTGTCTTTAGTTGAAAGCCCAGTGGCGATCTGCTCAACTCTCATTGAAATAATATGCTACAAAGGGGCGGACTGGCCATCTGTGTGTTGAACTTTCCTGTCGGCTCCCAGACCGTAGTCGAGGAGGGCAGAAGCAACGAGCTTCAGGTTCAATAACCCACTTTAGCTTAAATGACTGGAGAGAGGCGAGCTCTTCTTGAGAGGCCGTTGCATTTATTTAGCTGTTCTTCTGTTTCACAAAATACATCACAGACCTCTGTTTTTCTGCTGCCTCGTTTCACTTCCAGAAACATACTCACACGCACACGCCACACCCCTCTCTCTCTCTCTTAAAGGGACAGCGATCTCATCTCACTCTGCATGACCCTAATATCATAACATGTGTGTTCTGGAGAATCACAGAACTGACGATCGTCCTTATTATTATGCCGTTTAAACCAATTATTTAAATGTGTTTGTTAAATTCGGTATCATGTAAGTTGCGCTGACAGGTCCACACACTGCTTCCCCGCAGCGAGGCCCCCCCGCCCTCCTGTTGCTAGATCACGAGCGTCAAGTTCCTCAACATCCTCAACACCCCCCCCCCCCCGTTGATAATTCTCGATCGTTGGCACGCTGATAATTTTTTTTTTTTTAAATGGCACTTCATATCAAAAAGGTTGCCGACCCCTGCTTTAAACAATGCAGGACTTTTGCAAAAGAGTCTTTCTA